AAAAACAGCCCAAGAAACAGCCTGTTTTGGGGGCATTTTTCAGGCTGAATTTGTCCTGAAAAACGGGCGGGGTGGGGCCAGTTGGTGGTCCGATTTGCTGGTTCTCTGAACCGTGCAGAATCGGAAGAACTGGTTCAGGCGAACCGGTCCAAACCGGTAGCAGCCCACCTCTGACCACGTGACTAGGCTATAAAATGTTGCAAATCATGATCATGTGACTAGGATGCTGTAATTAGTCAGAAAAGTATGTAAAAGGGAAATCATTAGCTTTGTGATTCTATCTCTAGAAGTGTAGGATATTTTAGTAAATGGGGAGCATGTAACCAATATTAATTTGGAGAAACAAATTCATGGCTGAGATGAAATGAGGAACAAGACTTCTTCAGCTGATCTTTTGACACAGTTGTTATTTTTTTAAAATTTGTGAATTCTAATTTATATAAGATTTGAAGATAAAAGGCACTGTCTTGAACTGGACAATTATTTGTTTGAAATGGTATAGGTTTTTCTATTTGAGTAGGTTGGACTAGAAGACCTTCAAGGTTCCTTCTAACTCTGTTATTCTGTATTAGGCTTGATAGTTATGCTTTAAATTTCAGTTATGTAGTCCCTTTAAATAATTAGGCATTTAACTAATTAGGTATCTGCATCCAGCAGCAGATCTCAGAGCATCTTTAAATGAAGTTCCAAATAGAGTGCATATCAATATTTCAATTATGTTATTAACTGAATGGATGAGTGCTGATTGGATATCACCAGGGATAATTGCCTAGGCTATTTTATGTTGGACATAGGGCCTTTTTGTCACTGATGCCATTTATGAGCATAGAGAATTCCTGGATTACAGAACAGCTCAAATATCAGATATCTCTTCTTTCAGAAAGGTTCAATCAGAATAGAGCTGGAAGGGACTTTGGAGGTCTTCTAGTCCAACCCCCTGCTCAAGCAGGAGATCCTATACCATTTCAAACAAGAGATTATCCAGTCTCTTCTTTAAAACCTCCAGTGATGAAGCACCCACAACTTCTGATGGCAAGCTGTTTCACTGGTTAATTGTCCTCACTGTTAGGGAGTTTCTCCTTAATTCCAGATTGCTTCTCTCCTTGATTAGTTTCCATCATTGTTTCTTGTCCTCTTGGCTGAGAAGCAAAATGTCTTCAATGAAAAAACAAGAAAGACCACTTGGCTCCTGAAAAAGCACTTTTGGGACAACTATGACCTGGGTGACTGAGAATCTCCATAGACTTTTAGCTATGCATTTTGGGATGAACATCCTTCAAATGGTGTGGGCGTATGAACAGATTTCCAGAAAAATTTCAGACTACAGGAACCATTTGCAGTTCAGTTTGAGATGCAGACAACACAGATTCATGCCCAATAGCCTGCTCCTGTCTTTAACAGTGAAGGGATATAGAGCAGAAAACTGCAACCAAGAAGGCTCCACACCCATTTGTGGGTCATCAGGGTACTCAGGTGACTCTGAGGACACTGATAAACCTCCAAGTGGCCTTAATGACTCTCTAAAAGAATGCAAATGACCAGCTGTCTGCAAGGAATATAAATCTTTCCATTACCCACCACCAAATCAGAGCTGAAGAAGCTTCTTGGATGAGAAGCTTTGAAGACAGGTTGAAAGAAAAAACAAAAAAGTCCAGTTGCCTCCTGAAAAAGCACCTTTGGGACAACCATGACCTGGATAACTTTGCTTGTTGGAAGCTGGCAAAGAAGTTTGTAAATGGTGATCATGTTACTGTGGGATACTGCAACATTAGAAGTTTATGATATGACTAAAGATTTTAAATTTATATTATCAGGAATCTGCTTCAGAACCATGTTTTTTTGTGGTGTTCCAGAGAAGGCGAAGTACATGGAGGAACCAAAGGAATGGATTACATAGGATAGTGTATTGGCTTCAACTTTTTTTAAATATTTACACCAATTATCAGCCACTTCCTAAAGGTAGCAACAACTATATGTATGTTGATGATCAAGCAATGGTAGTACAGACAAAATCATTTGAAAAGGTTGAACAACCCAGATTGACTGACCCAGATTAAATCCTGCAATATTACCCTGAGACGCATATATTTACCTCATTCATGAGGTTGAACAATGTTTAACTGAAGCCCTGGTAGAGCTGGATCGATACTATTACAATAATCAGTTAAGACCAAATGCAGCAAAAATTCAGGTACGCACCTTCCATTTTTCACTAAACAGGCTGCTAGGAAGCTGCATATTATATGGAAAGGGATGTTATTGGAACATTGCCACAAACCTAATGTTTAGGGGTCACTCTATATAACATATAAGCAGCACTATATCAACACTAAACTGAAGGTCAGTGGATGAAATAACATGCTCAGGAAATTAATGAGCTCTACCTGGGGTGCCAAACCAAGGGTCCTTAAGACAACAGCTCTAGCTCTTTGCTACATAGCAGGTGAATATGCCTGACTAGTCTAGTATAAATCAACACATGCTGAGGAAGTAGATATTGTTATGAATGAAGCTAGCAGAATTATTACCAGATGCTTTAAACCTACCCCTCTAGATAAGATGTATCACCTAGCTGGCATTGCCCTACCTGCTGTTTGCAGAGAAGCAGCAGCATATAGAAAGGCGCTCAAATCATCAATATCTAAACAACATTCTTTCCACGGCCACAACCAGCTCACCAGAGTCTAAAATCAGGAAAAGCTTCCTTAGGTCAACAGAAGACTTTGAAAGCAGAATGGATCTATGGAAAGCTTCAAAGAACCAACACTAGATGGAACCAACGGAAGAGCTAGCACTTGGGGCTCATTAAAGCTGGGAAGTATAGAAATCATTAATAGACTGCCTATGGGTACAAGATCCAGAGATACTCTGAACAAATGGGGCTATCCAGTTGCTTCTGCTCTTTGACGTGGCAGACAAAAACACATATGTATACCTGTTCTTTGTGCTCCGATCAGTGTAAACCTGAGGCCCTTATGGCAGCACGACAGAATGCAATTAATGTTGCTAGTTTCTAGGCAAGATCTGTTTAATTTGTTCATATTTTAATATTGTTTTTATATTTTAAATTTTATGCAAGTTAGTATGCCTTATTTTAATTGAAATATTTCTGACAAATACTGCAAATCATTATTGTGAGCCGGGTGCTAGGCACCTGAATTACAATCACATGATTGCTGTGTTGCTGCAACCATTGTAAAGTATGAGAACCAGTCATAAGTACCATACATTCAGCTCTGTCGTAAGTTCAAATGATCCCTGAATGAGTGATTATTAAATAAGAATTACATGTAATTACACAGAAGGTGTTCTCCTTTTCCTTTTATCTTTTTTAATTTGCATGTTTATGATTCTTTCCAGAATATAAATCCAAATATACATACATAGCACAAATGTAGTACAGGTAGTCCTCAACTTACAACAGTTTACTTAGTGATTGTTCAGTTACAATGGCTACAATGAAAAAAACTGACTTAGACCATTTTTCACACTTATTTTATTTATTTATTTATTTGTTTCCATTTCTATACCGCCCTTCTCCAAACAGGACTCAGGGCGGTGAACAGTCAAAGTAAAAAACAGAACATACAAAATTTAAAAACAGTTTAAAATAATTAAATATTTTGGCCGTAAATTAAAACAACCCAATTTAAAATCAATTTAAAATTTAACTCAAGCCAGCCCAGCTAGTTGAAATAAATAGGTTTTCAGGGCCCAACGAAAAATCCGGAGGTCTGTTATTGTACGTATCTCTGGGGGGAGGTTGTTCCAGAGGGTGGGCGCCGCCACAGAGAAGGCTCTCCCCCTGGGGGTCGCCAGCCGACATTGTCTGGCGGACGGCACCCTGAGGAGGCCCACTCTGTGCGAGCGTACTGGCCGGTGGGAGGCTATTGGTGGCAGAAGGCGGTCTCGTAAGTACCCCGGCCCTAAGCCATGGAGCGCTTTAAAGGTGGTCACCAACACCTTGAAGCGCACCCGGAAGACCACCAGGAGCCAGTGCAGCTCGCGCAGGAGAGGTGTCACATGGGAGCGCCTCGTCGCCCCCATAATCCCCTGCGCGGCCGCGTTCTGGACCAGCTGGAGCCTCCGGGTGCACCCCAGGGGGAGCCCCATGTAGAGAGCGTTGCAGTAGTCCAGGCGGGAAGTGACGAGTGCCTGAGTGACTGTGTGTAGGGAGTCCCGATCTAGAAAGGGGCGCAACTGGCGTATCAGGCGAACCTGATAAAAAGCCCCCTTGGCCACGGCCGTCAAATGATCTTCTAAAGACAGCCGTGCATCCAGGAGGATGCCCAAGTTACGAGCCCTCTCCGTGGGGGCGAGTGATTCGCCCCCAATAGCCAGCGATGGCGTCAGCTGGCTATATCGGGACGCTGGAAGCCACAGCCACTCGGTCTTGGAGGGGTTGAGTCGGAGCCTGTTTCTCCCCATCCAGGCCCGCACGGCCTCCAGGCACTGGGACATCACTTCAAGGGCATTGTTGGGGTGGCTTGGGGTGGAGATATACAGCTGGGTGTCATCAGCGTACTGATGCAACTCCACTCCGAAGCCACTTATGACCATTGCAGCATCCCCATGGTCATGTGATTTACATTTGGATGCTTGACAACTGACTCATGACGGTTGCAGTGTCTTGGGGTCATGTGATCATCTTTCTGCACCCTTCTGACAAGCAAAGTCAATGGGGAAGCTAGATTCACTTTACAACCATGATACTAATTTAACAGCTGCAGTGATTCACTTAACCAATGTGGTGAGAAGTCATAAAACTCATTTAAAAAATTTCTCACTTAGCAACATAAATTTTGGGCTCAATCGTGGTCATAAGTTGAGGACTATCTGTATATAATTTTGCTGTAACCCTTGAGTCACCATTCTGCAACTATATTCTCTATCTCTCTCAGTTTGGTGGACCTCAAAGATCCAGCAGGAAAAAAAAAGGTTGAAAATTAAATCAAGAATTTTGAGCACCTTAACCTTAATACACTTTGATTTATTTTTAGGTTTCATCTTGTGAGAAATGCCGATGTGAGGCCAATGGTGAAGTAGTGTGCACTGTGTCTGCTTGTCCTCAGACTGATTGTGTGGACCCTGTATACGAACCAGATCAGTGTTGCCCCATCTGCAAAAATGGTAGGTAACAGATGAAATTTTTTGGGCTTAAGGATTTCAACCCTCCCCCAACTGAACCCCAACCCCATTGTTACATGTAGTCATTAGCTGAATAATTACATTCCAAAAACATTTTTGTGTGTACATGATCCAGAAGTATAAAGCTGAGCAAAAGTAGCATAATTTTACCTAACTCTTTTCAATTGTTTTAATTTTTAAACTGTTTAATTATGGGTTTTAATACAGGGGTGCTTTTAAATTGTGGGCCAAATTAATTTAATCGGATTTTAATACTGTTTTTAAAATTTTGTATTTCTTGTGTTTTATCTGTTGGCTGTTCACCGCCCCGAGTCCTTTGGGAGAAGGGCAGTATATAAATATAAACAATAAATACATACATACATACATACATACATACATACATACATACATACATACATAAAATAATTGAAATATGCCATATTCTTAGTGTATGTCTAATGTCTAAAGAAAGAATTGCTTCAGAATGACCTAGGGAAACTAAGGATATAAATTTTGTGGCATATCTGATTTGGTTTTTAATTCATGTGTTATGTTTGAAGTATCTAATAATAGATTATTGATTTAATAGATTGTTTTAAGTATATATTGCATATTTTTCTGGTTTTGAGTATAAAACCTGGATATGCTATCTGTGCTAATTTATACAATTCATTTAAGTTTCCCTGTCATATTAATATTATCTTCCAATATTTTCAATCTTATTTTATCTATTTTATTTTTGCTACAGTTAATCTGTATTTCATAATAACTACGCTTTTTTTATTACAGGTACCCCTCAATTTACAATAATAACTGAGCCCAAAATTTCCATTGCTAAGCAAGACAGTTGTTAAGTGAATTTCACCTTATTTTACAATATTTTTTTTGGCACAGTTAAGTGAATCATCGCAGTTAGTAAGTTAGCAACACAGCTGTTAAGTGAATCAGGCTTCCCCCACTGACCTTGCTTGTCAGAAGATCAGAAAAGATGATGAGAAGACCCTGGGCACTGCAACCATCATAAATACATGCCAGTTGCCAAGAATCCAAATTTGATCAGATTTTCTTTTCCTGTTCCCAAGGCTTTTTCGAGGCTTTAACAAATCTTTTTCGTAAGTCCAGTAAGGAGTCATTGTCCAGGTCACTCTTTTGGCTTATCATTGTATTTCTATTTTAACTGTCATCTCTGTCTTATAATCTATTTTTGTTTAATTTTCCAATATTTCATCTTTATGTTCTACTTTTTCAGAATCATATAAGGCTTGTTTCAATGTAATGGTATGTGGGTATGACCTTGGCATACAAGGGATACTGCCCAAGGAATGATTAGATAAGAGAGGGCATAACCCACAGCTGCACAACGGGCAAAAAAACTCCTTAACTATTCAGGTTGTAGAAAAAACAGCAGAAGATTTATATTATCAGACTTGCAAGATTCTATTAGCATATCTAGAATTAGCTCATCTGGTCATGTTTGCTTACCTGGGAAATGTTCAGTTATTTATCCTGTAGATCCTCTAAGATATTCTTTTTGCACATCACTCATTTTTAAAAATATCTTTTGGGCATAATCTATCCGTAGAAGCAGAGAACATTGCTGACATTGCAGCTGCTATTTCCTGTCCCCATTCTTCATTTATCTCCTGGAGCATTTCAGCTGTCGTATCGTTTCTGTCAATTTGTCACAATGCTGACCAAAGGCAAAGGCAAGCCTGTCTCTTTTTTCCTTTTCTTTTATGCCTAGAATCTTTAGTCCCCTCTGGTATCCAATTTCTGGAATCATAAAATCTTGATTTTCTCTTACAACTTATCTAGGGTAGACAAGCAATTTAGTTCCCACGGAGGAGCTATTTATTATTTCTAAAGTCTTATGGCAAAATTCTTAATATTCCAAATTTGTACAGTCCCTTAATTTGTTAATAATTTTCTTGAATTAAAAATTTAGATTTTGTCATTTATTTTAGTCTTTCCATTCTTAAACTTATCATTAAATTTTTCTTTGTTCTAGAATGAAGTTAAAGTCACTAGATGCACTTTGATTTGTAAACTTGTATTTTTGAGCATGTCTATTAGCTTTGAGATAGTTAGATAATTTCTGAAAGTTATTAGAAAGTGAAGTTTGCAAAACCAATATCCTTGAATAGACCGTGCCACAGATAAGTATATGGATGGTTTCACTTGTCTCTCAGAACCAGAGGAAATCATTATCCTGCAGTTTCTTTGGAAGGAGCAATCAGCAACAAGTAGACAATCATCCATTTTCTTCTTATCAGGAGATACTCCATGGGAATGATCTCCTTGCTGGCCCTTTAATGATACCCACATCATCATCTCCACTTATTCAGAGATGTGCTAGCTTGTCATTCTCATTAAAGAGTAAATATATAACTTAATCTTCTTTCACATGATATCCTTTCAAATTTTTGAGAAGTACTAAAATATCCACCCTATCTTCTTTTCTCAAGACCAAAAAATCTATATTTATAGGTCTATTTATTTAATGGATACATAATTAACAAAACAACCTTTAAATTTTTTAAAAATTAAAAATGTAAACTAAGAAAGAAAAATTTATATTATATTTTATACATCCAAGTCACACATTTAGTAATGAATACATTATAATTATATGAATAGTATAATATATTATTATAAAATTACAAAATCTGTCATTCTAACATATATTACTGCTTCCTTTAGAAAATACTGCCCTTTCCAAAATATTGTCACACATGTCTAATAACTACATCTAGAATAATACCAATTTCCAATTCTTCTAACCATTCCCTGCCATCAGGGCCGGATTTAGATGAAAAGAGGCCCTAGGCTATTCCACTTATGAGGCCCTTTCACCTATAGTGAAAGTGTAATTTTAATTTTGCTAACAATTTGAATGTAGGGAATGTAGGCCCCTCTTGATCTTGAGGCCCTAGGCTGAAGCCTAGTTAGCCTATAGGAAAATCCGGCCCTGCCTGCCATGCTTGACATAACTATAATTCTTGATTAATTTCAAAGTTTTAGTATGTAATGTTAAGATCTTTAACATTTAAAGATTTTCCCATAAATCTGCTTTATTCATTAATATATTGGTGGCACAGTGGTTAGAATGCAGTATTGCAGGCTAATTCTGCTGAATGCCAGGAGTTTGATTTTGACAAGCTCAAGGCTGACTCAGCCTTCCATCCTTTAAAGTCGGTAAAATGAGGACACAGATTGTTGGAGACAATATCATGACTCTAAACTGCTTAGAAAAGGCTATAAACCAAACGGTATATAGTATAAGTCTAAGTGCTATTGCTGTTGTTATTATCCTCAAAAGAAATCAAATAATAACATGACCATATCATAAGAATCAATGAATTCTCAACAGTTTACACCTCAGGAAGTAAAATCTGATGTCTATCCCTTCACGTACATATCTGGGGAGTCCAGTACACCCTAAATATATTTTATTTATCAGCTTAAATGCAGATTTGCTGATATCATTTTAACATTTTAAAGTTTTTTTAAGGTCTTTATTGGAGATTCCAGTAAATGTTTAAGATATTCCACGAATATCCACTTTAAAAACATTCTTGAGCTTTGAAAGAGATGTTACATATTTTAATTCTGTCAAGGATTGCTTCATTTAATTCTGTCAGAAATAATGAATTGGGTAGTTGTTTAAAATGGATTTGTAAAACAGCAACTGCTTTTTGGGGGAAGTGGACAGTGCACATATGAAGCTTTTTATCCATATATTAAGGTGATCAATAATTTCCTCTGATATTTTAGTGGAGTATTGTTTTTTGAGTTAGTGATATGGAGAATAGTTCTAAATAAAGTCATAATATTTGACATTGACAATCTATGCAATATGAAGAGTCTGTTCAAAAGGACAGATGAATTTAGAATTCTAGAAAATAATAATGAATATAAAATGTTTCTTATGTAATATTACTATTGTACCACAACAGCATGAAAAGAAATTAGTATAAACTGTTAACATATTTTCCAGTATTCGTAAACTGAATAAAAGATATAAATGTCGTTTTGAAAAATTATTCATGTATAAGTGTGCATGTGTGTGAATATATATACACACACATACCTACACACAAAGAGATTCATTTATTAACATTTATTATAAAACTCAATCATGTAGCTAGCCATTGACCAAATAAATAAAATAAAAAGAAATTCAGCAGTTTTCTGAATCATGGCTTCCTAAAACTAGCAATTTCTCTAGAATCAACAAGATGTTTAAACAATTGTACTTACTATTACTTCTTTCGTTATTTCAGGATTTTAAAGCATTACAGGCTATATGGAATAAAAAAATTGTTCACAACAAGAGAATCGCTCTTGATTGTCATTCATATTAGGAATCTATTAAAGCTAATCTTTAGCAAGATTAAGATTTGGAGAATATTTCTTAAAATAAATTAAAACCTCACAAAGAAACAGCCCTAGTCACTGTGTAACTGACTTTTAGTAATGAAGAAATTATTCAATATATGTACATTGAGCCAAGGTGACTGGGGAAACAAGATTAAAAAGCTACATATTGTTCTTCACATTCTCTTCTTCTCTTTGATATTTTATGATTTCTTGATTTCTTGCATTTCTTCTTAAGTATAATTGTGCTTAAAGTTATTGTTGTTTGTTCTTTGTCATGGGCATCTAGTGTACCAGGAATAATCATTACTGGGCTTTTATCAGCTGAGAGTTAGAAAGATAGCAATCCATTTTCTGAAAACTATATTAGTGGTGAATATGGTGGAAAAAATGGGAGAGAATTTTTTTTTACAGACAAAGTAAAATTATACATAGTTTCACGTAGACCTTCTGAAAATATCCTCTTTTCTGTGGTTATTTTCACTATGACAAAAATGACTTTGAAGCCATTTTTTGAGGTTAAATTTTTAAGTTTGCTTGTGATTTAGTTATTTAGAAAGGAATGGATATAGGCAGCACATATGTGGCACCAAGGAATACCTAAACTATAACACTAAATCATGGTTTATTTGTTGTTTCAATGCATAATACATAGGACGCCTTATTTTTCCATTTTTCTTACAAATCAATAATATACTCTTCAAAATGTAAAAAAAAAGTTCTTGCAGTAAATTAAATAGATTTTGACTGTTCCATTAAGTTCTACCCAAATTATGATACTTCTGACTTATATTTGATAAAAATGGTAATTTTCTATTAAAAAGAGTGAAGCATAATAGAGATTGCTTGTCTTTAGTCACAAATTCGTAGTGGATTTTTTAAAAAAGTTATTCTGGATTCCCATGAGAATTCCTCATTTTAAAGACTAATTTAAGTTTGTATCAAAACTACCAAATAGATGTTACATACATTTATTAGTATGATTTATTTTTCAAATATAGTTACATGCAAGGAAATAATACTTTACATAGCATCCAGTTTGCATTTTTTATTCTGTAAATATAAAAAATTAAACAGAAACAGTTCACTTATTCTGCACATGTGGAAATCGCATTGCCTCAGCAAATTGCAAAGAATGATAGTTTTCTCTGAGACTTTGAGAGCACACCAATTTTTTTAAAAAACCATGTTTAAAATCTAATCAGTTTCCTAATTACCTTTATTTTAATAATGCAGAGGTTTTTAGAGCTGTCTTATGTATGGGGAAACATGGTGTACATTTGTTAGTATTGGCATACAATTCTAAGATTAGAGACAGAGTGAGGACTACAAAGATTGGAGGATGAACCTTTTCACTGTTTGAACTCTTGTTTCACCCACTAAAGGAATTTTCAGACTCTCAAATTCCCAGATTGATTTTTGCCTGCCAAAATACTACTGGTTTGGACATCTGTACCCTATTAAAAGGTAAAAATCTCACATTTCTGCTCAAAATTTCCAAATGTGAGATATTTTTGTTAGCAGGAATGCTTAAAGTTGCTTCAAGTTTATTACCAGTGTGATGGATACACAACAGTTTTCATTTATTTTGCTGGAGAGAAAAGGATCCAGTGAAAGGTTTCTCCTTTCTTTTCCATCAAGAAACTGAAAATTGGAAGATGGATGGATGTGGAGGTCAGCTGGGTAAGTGCTTCCAAAGGGCTGATTAGGGCCTGATACAATTCCCTGGAAGTTGCACATTTTTAGAAGGGCTTTTGCATCGTAAATATTACTGCTGTCTAGAAAATATAGAATTCTGTTGTATTCCACCAGACCAACATTTCATTCTATTTTAAGGGTTTGCTTCTTTCTTGACAGTTGGTATATATGTCCAATCACAACATGTCAATGAAACTTTATTTACTGTGAATAAATAGGGCATAATTAGTTTTTTTTAAGTATTACAGAATTATAGGTGTATCATAAAGTTGTTTTATTTTATAACGTCATTTCTCAGGAAAAATGTCAGACTTCCAAAAATGTGTAAAATTTAAATTCTACATTTATTAAGATGTTTATATAGATATGATTAGTAGTTTTTAATGTAACCTAGTTTCTATAGCTGTGATGGCGAACCTATGGCACGCGTGGCACAGGTGGCACGCGGAGCCATATTGCCTGGCACACACAGTGGTGCCCGGTCCTCTTCTGGATTTCTGGTGCACGCATGCGCACCGGCCAGCTAGTCTTCTGGTTACTGGTGCGCATGCGCATGCGATGATCAGCAGGACTTCACATAGGCGGCTGTGCCAGAAACCAGAAGATCAGCTGCCCAGCTGATCGTCCCACACGCATAGTCGCCAGTAACCAGAAGACTAGGTGGCTGATGTGCATGCGTGAACCTGAAACCAGAAGTTTATTTCCCGGCACACGCATGCCCACTGGGCAGCTTCTCTTAGCACACATGCGCACCGGCCATGCGATTGGCAGCCACTTCTTGGGATCCACATTGGAGGCCATTTGTGCTGGCAAACCAGCGCTGGGGGGGGGAGAAAGAGGGGAATGCTCTTTGCAGAGGCGGAGGCTCCTCCTCTTGCCAGTTTTGCTGTTGATTTCGGGGTTTGCCTGGGGGGGGGAGAGAAAGTCCTGGTTGGGGGCAAATCCTCTTTGCAGATGCAGCAGCAGCTCCTCCTCCTCCTCCCCCTGCCAGCCTCGCTGTAAATCTCAGGGTTTGCCTTACTGGGGGGGAAGAAGGGAGGGGCGGAAGAAAGGTGCTGGTGGGAGAGATATCTGTGGTGCCAGTGACTGCAGCCACACTCCAGAAAAACCCCATTGGAGCCCCAATCAGCCGTGTGCAAGGTGGTGGCCAGAGCAAGAGAAGCAGGATGCCAGACGCTCAGCTCTGCAGACACACAGAGCTGGGGGCATGGGGCTTCCCTACATAAGTTTGCCAGCGCCACTGCCTCTTTGCTGGCAAAGTTATGTAGGCAAGCCCTGCGCCCCGCCAGCACAGAAATTGCCTGACCGGCTCCAATGGGGCTTCTCCAGAGTGTGGTTAGAGTCACTAACACCACAGACATTTCCCCCCCCTCGGACTTTTCTCCTCCCCCCCCGTAAGGCAAACCCCA